TCACATGGAACATTGCAGTAGTTTTTTTACAGCTCCCTAGCAAAACCTTGGAAGAATCAGCCTCTCAAACTGAGGATCAGCATATGGGTAGAAGATTAGCACACCAGAGGACTGCTTCTAACACGGCCTTCAGAGACAGAACTAGGAACTAAAAACCTCAGTGGAAAAGGTGAATGCCTAAATTCTTCAGATAGATTTGTGACATGCTGCTCATGTCCAGGTTATATTTAGAAGTGGATCGGGAAGTTCAGAAATGAGACTATTATTTATCTTTGTAATAAACAGACATATACACTGAACAAGAATACTGGTCAGACATCACAAAAGAAAAACACTGAGGAAAGTGAAATGTTTTTGTAAAGAATAGTCTGTTATCTGGAAGACAGTAAAGGAAGAGCCGTTTGCCACTTCTGAAGAGCAGGACCGTGGTTTGTTGCCAGAATATCATTTGAATGGGCCACAACCCAGAAACATGGCAGAGTGCAAAATGTTTCCACCCAAAGAGTTATGGAGAAGTCTTTATAAGAAGAGTTGTCATTTTGCATAGGCTCAGTAGATACAAGTCTCTCCTTACAGATCTTTCTCCAAATAAAAATGCATATTTTTTAAAAAGAGGAAAAAGTGTAAACTTCTGTGATTACTCTTCAGGCTTCTTAGAAGATATTACAAATAATGAGGGGCAAAATGGATCAAAATTACAGAAAGTATTTGTTCTTTTAAAATGAGGATAAATAGAGTCATCTGGGTTACTAAGGGCCTCTGGGGAAAATTGCTTAAGTCTTGAGGAGGGCCAGCACATGGAGGGTTGTTGTGTCCACATGGAGCCACAATTGCAGGCCGGGGGGAGGCGGAGGGGGAGGGCTTAATCCTTATTGAACTAACAGCAGCTTATTCTGATCCTGTCAGTGACAGTCAGTAGAATTGCAGTTGTCTTTATTTGTGCAGATTTTGTCTCATCTAATGCATTACCAAATTAAAGATGATTATTTATAGCCGGCAGTGTAGGCAAAAAGGGATTGCTTTGGCGCCTGATTACCAGGGTGACTTATCATTATAGGGGTTTTTTTATTATTATTTTTGCACTCTGTGTTCCTAATCAAAATCAAGCTTTAGTGGAACATTAATGAAGGCCTGAAAACCTTGGTAGTGTCCCAGTACAGATGAAAGTGAGTTAAATAAGTGTATTTGGGACCCTGGAAGTTGGAAAGGAATCTCCTCTTCACTATGTCTGGAAAATGGTCTGACAGGTTTGTTTGTTTTTTTTCCAAATGAGGATCATCTCACAGCAGAAATGTATTCAGTAGTGATATATTGATTCTAGAGATGGGTTTTAAGACAAAAGTAACTTTAGGGGTGGGGGAGGGGGAATTCCAGGAAACTGCAATTATAAAAATGTCAGCAGTGTTTATTCTTTGTAGCGTAACCAGATGACACCACAGGTGGTTGCCTGGCTTATAACATTTGCAAAATATTGTTCCACAATTGTATTAGAAAGTAAAATCTTTCCAGTAATTGAATGCTTTAAAAGGAAGCTTTGATATATTTATTTTAGTCTATGGGGAGTGGAAAGAGGGTCCACTCAGAATTATGTAAATAGTTTTTTCAAAGGTATTCCTTGCTCCAGTTCCTTTGCCATGAGGCTCTGATTTGGGAGTGCGAGGGGATTCTAGTACTCTAGGTTGAGGATAACTTTCCTAGTGAGTCCTGCTAGTTTATGTATAGATTAACTTTGGTGTTTGCTTCAGATGAGCGCTGGATTCTTTGCTTTGCCCTATATACATTATAACAGTATGAAGTTTATAACATTTTCTTAAATTCAGTACATTGCTAGTTATTTATTTTCAAATCTTTTGATCCAAGGATAATTGCACATTTCTTGCACAGGTTCTTTTTATTTTTGTGCCTGTGAAAAGAGCCAGATTGATACCCATTGAGACCAAAGTCTGCCATTTTTCCACAGAGCAAGTGCGGTCTGAGCAATGCAAGTCAAACTTCCCCACTCTGCTGGAGAGACTACTGCTATAGATGCTTCAGTTTATATATCCATTCCTTCCTTGGCCTTTTTCCCAAGATTTCCAACAACTGTAGTAATTAGTGCCCATTATGATGGTAGCTTTTGTGACCACAAATAACTGGTTTCAGACGACAAACACACTTCACATAGGCCCCAAAACACCTCTGCTAGTAATACCTTTTAGCACTAGTGTCTTGGGCTGAAGTTGAACAAGTGTCGTAGAAGTGAAAAGCTGTGTGTCCCTTTGCATGTCCTCTGAGTCTGACTTCCTTCTGCAAAGTATTAAACAGCATTAGCTCTGGACTTTAAATACCTGAGACTATATGATGTAGTGATTTTGGGAATCTCTTCACCAGAGCTATGGGATGATAAATAGGTTGGTAAACCTAGGTTCAAAAATCAAGGGAAATACATTTATAAATACAAAATAAAACATATACTGTAGCAGTACCTTGATTTATTTTGGGATTAGGATCAAAGATTATTCCTTATAGCAGGGGTCGGCAACCTTCGGCACGCAGCCCATCAGGGTAATCTGCTGGTGGCTGCAAGACATTTTGTTTATGTTGACCGTCCGGAGGCATGACCCCCCGCAGCTCCCAGTGGCCGCTGTTCGCCATTCCCGGCCAATGGAAGTTGCGGGAAGCGGCGTGGGCTGCAGCCTGTGGACAGTCAATGTAAACAAAAACAACCAGGAGTCCGGTGGCACCTTAAAGACTAACAGATTTATTTGGGCAGAAGCTTTCTGAAGAAGTGAGGTTTTTTACCCACGAAAGCTTTTGCCCAAATCTGCCACCGGACTCCTTGTTGTTTTTGTGGATACAGACTAACACGGCTACCTCCTGATACTTGACACAACATAAACAAAATGTCTCGCGGCCCGCCAGCGAATTATCCTGATGGGCTGCGTGCCGAAGGTTGCTGACCCCTGCCTTATACGTTTCCATATGGACCCTCATCTATGTGTTTCCTCAGGGGTATTGACAGAAGAATGTTCTTCCCTTTGGAGACATGCCTTTTAAAACAAAATAATAGTAAGGGGAGCATCTAGATAGAACGAGTGTGCTCATAGTCCCGCAAACTCCCCCTCTACTTCTGCCACAGAAATATGGACAAATACAGTAACCTTTAAAATGGCAAGGCAAAGCTTTCTGTCTCTCCAGCAAAGAAACAGACGCCAGAGTTGAAGTTTCATATTATGCTGTTTAAAATATCTATTTTCTGTGTATGAGGAATGATGTGTTTAGTGAGGCTGACAGACTGTCAGTTGGCTGCTCTACACACTACTTTCCAGCATAAAAATAAACTGCAGATGTTCCAAGACAGATATATCAAGATACTTAACTTTGGTTTCGGGTTTGCAGATGTTCTGTGTTTCACTAGAAATAAATCTCAGGGTTAGTGTTGATAAAAATGCATTCTCCATAACTCCACAGACTGAGTCTTGTGTGTGTTTAATACATTTTGACCTGTAAGCACTTTTGTTGTTTTAAATACACCTCTACCCCGCTATAACGCGACCAGATATAACACGGGTTCGCATATAGCACGGTAGCAGCGGGGCTCCAGCAGCGCTTTAAAGGGTCCAGGGCTCCGGCTGCTGCAGGGAGCCCCGGGCCCTTTAAATCACCACCGGAGCCCTGCTGCTGCTACCCCAGGGCTGTGGCAGCGGGGCTCGCCAGCGCTTTAAAGGGCCTGGGGCTCCCCGCAGCAGCCCTGCCACCTCTACCCCGATATAACGGCGTTTCACCTATAACACGGTAGGGATTTTTGGCTCCCCACGACCGCGTTATATCGGGGTAGAGGTGTACCAGAACAAAAACACATTTCTTGTCTTTTCTTCCCATAAAAAGTAAACCAAAATAAGTTATTAACTAGGACCCCTGTTGTGGAAGATGTTGAGTACTCATCTCTCATCATAGGTGTTGGAACTAGTGGTGCTGGGGGTGCTGCAGCACCCTCTGGCTTGAAGTGGTTTCCATTATATACAGGGTTTACAGTTTGGTTCAATGGCTCTCGGTACTCCCACTATAAAAATTGTTCCAGCACCCCTGTCTGTTGTTGTTTGCAATGGTTGTTGGAAATATTCAGCACCTAGCAGAGTATATCTTCTAGGAGTTGTCCCACAATGTTGGACCTGTTGTTTTAACAACTTAATTAATCTTCTTGCCGGAGTGATGGTTTTTCAATTAGCCTATAGTTGACTGCATGGAGCTGAGCTGGGGACGGGGAATCATCCAGATATTACTTCCAGATGAGTTTTAATTTATTTCCAAGGACAAATAGAACGGTTTTACCTGTCTGAATTACTGTAACTTCACTTTAATACTTTGATATGCTGCTGGGTTTTTAAAACAGAAAATAATGTGTGCTTTGTAAAACTCAAGTAAGGAATGAACGTGGTGCAAGAGTGTAAACATGGCACTGACAGCTGTATTTCCTGCAATACGTTTGATGGCTGGCACTTGCATGACATATTGGCTTGTTCCTTCTTTTCATGTAGAAAATGTAACTGGATACAATTGGCTATGGTTCAACTAAAGTTAGGCTATTTTGTGTATCATCTCATCACAGCTGCAAAGTAATTACTTCCAGAGTTGGGTCTTCCACCTTGACGGGACGCTGAGTGTGTAAGGGAGAGATGAGACAAAGCTGATTCAGTTTTGTTTTTTATAAATGCAAGAGTCTCAACAACTTCAAGATTCAAGTCAGACTACTTTGTTCTCTTTTTAATTTTTAGTTATGCGATTCGGTGGTGTTCTTACATCACGCAGCATGTATTGTAATGTGAAATTTGCTTTGTGAATATAACAATAAGCCACACTTTGAGTGACTGTGTGCTTCAGGTCTAACCGTGGGCCCCGCGTGCATTTGACTCTGTATTCGCTTACAAAATAACAAACTGATGAGATTTCAGCAGAGCTAAAGCATGACTGGGTGGTATCCTAATCAAATATTAAGTCTCCTGAGGTTCTTTTTTGCCTAGGGAAGCAGCAGCAGCTTGAAGCCGAGCACCAGGCCATGTATGTCGAAGCTGATCATGACCTGCACCTAACAACACGACGTTCGGTACAACCCCCTGCAGAAAGACCCGGGGAGAGACGTATGGCTGAAATGAAGAAACTCTATGGTGTGGGTGCGTCCAAAATCCAAGCCATGGAGACTGCCATGCAACTTGCCTTTGATAGGAACTGTGATAAAAAGCAGCCCAAGTACTGGCCTGTTATCCCCCTGAAACTGTGAGCTGTATCATCTTCTGTACTAGCAGTCCAGCGCTGCAGCTGTGGGTGCCCAATCAGGCTACATAGCTCAATGAATGAATCAGGGGTCCTCACTTGTTCTCCTTTCTCCTCCTGCCAAACACACTCCCCCTCTTCTTTTTAATCTGTCTACCAGAGTTTTCAGAACCTATAGCATCTCCACAGGGAAGTCCTAAATTATTGATTTGTACTGTAGGGATAGTGAAATTTTACTTCTTTTAAAATATATATTTCACTAATTTAATGTTGGTCTGCCTGGACCATGCTTGCAGGAAATGCAATAGCATTTGTTTGCACTTAGTGAGCTGGGAAGACTGTTCAGCAACACAAAAATCTCTACAAATGATCCACTTATTTATTATTTTTAATATAGTAGCCTTGAGATCCATTTTAACACAGTACAGCTTGAAGTGTTGTGAATTCTGAACCCTCATCCTTGATTTGGGGATCCTGCAGTCAATTGGCCAAGGTACAAAATACTAAATTACTGTAGCACAGCCATTTGAATGCTCTTTGAAAGCTTTATAATAAGGCAGGAATTTTTTATTCCAGTCTGAAATTTGGCAGGCAGAATTTCAATCCAGAAGCAAACTTATATGAAAACATGAAAAAAGAAATTTTGGCCATTTTTATTATACAACTGTTTGGCATGGTAGCAAAAATGTCTAATTGATTTGATACATAAAAAAAAAAGAAAAATTAAACCAACGGAGAGGATTAGGTTCCAGTTCTGTCACCCTTCACTCACATTGAGTAGTCTTACTCAACTAATAATTCCATTGATTTGTGAACTCACTGAGTAAGCAATACTCACTATGAATAAAGGAGGCAGAATTGAGCCCTTAATGTTGAAAAGTGAGTACTCTGGATATGTAATCATGAAAATCCTTCTGAAAAGCAGCTATGTGTCACTATTGTATACTTAGTTTTCACCAAAACAAGTTTTCACCCAGTCAAAGTAACACAGACTTCAGACATTTTTCTGTAGAAAGAGTTGTGTAAAGAAAATGATGATTAAATGGCCTCTCTGTGTAATATGCAGTATTTCCATGCTACATTATAAGTGGTTCCAAAGAAACTTATTAGTGACTTAACTGTCATAAACATGGGTGACCCGTTTTTGCGGTAGAGAAGGCTGAGGCTGAAGTTCCAACCATTTAATTTGCTCTAGCTATGTCCTGTACTTGCCTATACGGTCTAGCTGTTGTAGCATGTGTGGCATATAATAAACCACATTAATCTCTCTGCCCTTTGCTATATACTGGTAGACTAGAGCAAATTTCAGATTTAACTTTGAATGTCCTTGTTCTTATCACTTGGTGTTACAGCTTCAAAAGTACTTCTTTTTTTATTCTAACTGAACATAACATGCATAACATGAAGTGGTAAGATTGAACTCCTTAAAATTAAAAGCTTCCAGACTCCAAGACTCATTACTGATGTAATTGAACTAACAAGCTTGTACACAGGGAAAAAAATAAGTTGGGGTTGTGAAATGTAATCCTGCATTTGGTGTACTTTAATTTTGTCATGGTATGTATGTTAGCGATCGACTATGAAATGTCAGGAATTAGTGGTTTTGTTAGGATCTCTCTTGGTTGACAGAATAAACTTTTATCTTCTCATAAAAACTCTGTGATAAAAATTATTTGTTTTTACATCCTGCCCCAGCTATATAACACTTTATTCAATGCCCAGGGGTGGTAAACCTTCTCTTGCTCTCTCTGTTTGTTAGGGAAGGCTGCACCTTGCCCTGGTGCAGCTTTAACTTAGTTATGTTGTGAAAAGCGCATATGGGTGCAGATGAGGGTTTCACCGGAACCCTTGGCCCACTCACGGCCTATCTGGTAAGGTGCAAAGTGGGTGAGGAAGGCTGCTGTGGTTTTTGAGGGAAGGGCATCTTCCCTTCCTGATCCATGTCCAGATCTCTCTCTTCCCATATGAATGGGGGACTCTGCTGCACTGGCAACATCAGCGGCTATTTTGGGGCTGGGGTGGAAGGTTCACCCCCTCACACTTCTCTGCTCCTGAAGAGCTTGCCAGGGAATACACTCTTGGGATGTATATCTTTTTGTGGAGCCCCCTCTGTTAAGGGGATCTTCTATACAGGAGAAGTAGTCCCAGGGGAAATAGATCTGAAATGCCTGGGAGTGAGAGGGTAGGCTGCCCGGGGACAGTTAAAGTGAAGTTACAGTGGATCTGTAGAGTTTAAAGGCAGGTTTCATGACCTGTTCCAAGGGGGACCAACCCTACCTTCTTCTCTGTTCCCCCCCATCTCCAGATGAAATAATGTAGGGAAATCGGGGAGAAGATTTCATCTCCCTTAATTTCTCTCTCAGGTTTTTATGGGAGGGGTTGATCTGACTCCTCATGGGTTTTGCAGGAGGGAGCTCCACACGTGATGTCCCGCAGGAGTGATGCATCTCGGGTTTGGAGGAGGGGAGCTCTCATTTGCAGACTTACGAGGTGTGCAGGAAAGAGGCTCCCTCCTACAGATCTCCCAGCTTTCATGAGACAGGCTGTTGCATCATGTTTAGCCAACTAACTCCACACGCAGGCAATTCAGTGGAGTTTTGAAGTCCTTTATTACAATAATTCTTGCTGTTCCATCTTTTTTGTTTGTAAAAGAATCTGGGACTTTCCAAAAACCAGATTGTGGAAGCTTCACAGTTAAGGACTCAGATGTGAGAAAATACCAATGTTGAGATTACATGGGCAACACTAATTCTGACCCCTTGCACTTATGTATTACGCTGCAGTCCTTAATTACATGCCTTCGTAATATTTCTCAAATAATACCATGTTCTGTCACTTCAGCCTCTTGAGTTGAGGAGCACAAATGGAACCTTGTAGACCTGATTCTCCCCTGCCTTACACCTTGTGCAGTCATTTGCACCCAGGGCCGGCTCCAGGGTTTTGGCCGCCCCAAGCAGCCAAAAAAAAAGTCGCGATCGCGATCTGCGGCGGCAATTCGGCGAAAGGTCCTTCGCTCCCAGTGGGAGTGAGGGACCGTCCGCCGAATTGCCGCCGAATCGCTGGACCTGCCGCCCCTCTCCGGAGTGTCCGCCCCAAGCACCTGCTTGCCAAGCTGGTGCCTGGAGCCAGCCCTGTTTGCACCTGTGCAAAGTGGGAGTAAAATACCACCAAGTCAGAATTCTTCTTTCACTGGTGGTAGCATTTGACACCCTATTTGCATTCACTTTTCACAAGTGTAAATTTGACTCTACAAGGAAGAATCACGCCTAGGGTGCCACCGTTCTAATGGCTGGTAACCGGACCCCTGACGCCCCACTCCTTGCCCTGCCTGTTCCCCCGAAGCCCCGCCCCTGCTCTGCCTGTTCCCAAGGGCCCCCCTCCCCCATCACTTGCAGGGTCTGCACCAGCATAGCTGAGGCCGCTTTGCCCGCCACTTGCGGGCTGCTCAGAGCCACGAGCCGCACAAGCAGTCTGGCCCTGGAGGCAGCAGCTGCTGTTGCTGCACTGCCTCCTTCCTTCCACTTAGGATTGCAACCTTTTCCACGGATCGAAAACAACGCACATCAGGGCTTGTCAAATGGCACCTGAACACATACGCTGAAACCCAGACTGTCTGGGTGGAAACCGAACAGGTGGCAACCTCATGCCCTGGGTTGTAAGGAAAATGGACCTCATGGAAAATTTTGGTCTTAATCTCAGTAATTCAGCTTTCCCGTCAGTAAAATGGGAACAATGCAAAACAACATAAAGATGTTCTAAAGATTGATTTGTTAATGTTTGAAAAATGCTTTGAAGATTGGGGGAAGGGGGAAATGGTAAAAGACTTTTTATTTATAAATGCATTAAAAATGATCATGACTGGACACAATATAAGTTTAACATACAAAGTGATGACCTCCACATCTGATACCCAAAGATAACCGGTTTGTGCTCGCACAGTGGAAACATTGTCAAAGATCTGTTTGTCCTTGTGAAAGTATTTCTCCATAAAGCAGCTGATTATGTTTCATCTTCTCACGGTTGCTGCGGCCTGTATGTGTGTGGACTTATTATTGGCTATTCTAATTGGCATGATACATTTTTACCTTTATAGCTTGCTCATTTGTACTGATGCGCTCCCTCTTTTGTGTTTTTTCTCTCCATGTGGTGAAGGTCCAGAAACCTCTTGCATGGTGATTGGCTAAAGATTCTATAGACCGTATTCAGATGACTCACTCAGAAGGCATTTTTAGTATATACCATTCCTGAGCAAGTTACAACAAAATCCTATCATAACCTCTGTGAAAGACATGCACAGATATGGCCTATAAGGCATCAGTTTCTGGTGTTTGTATCTTGTTTTGTTCCCTTTGCTAAAAGATTCAGTTCAGTCTTAAAAACTAAAGCTACATTGGTCAAATGTGGGTGCCTATAGGTAGACACCTAAATTAGTGGCCTGATTTTCAGAAGTGCTGAGCACTCCCACATTCCATCAAAGTCGTAACTCACTGCTCAGCATTCTCTGAAAATGGAACTGCTTTTATTTAGGTTCTTAAACATGGACTTAGAGGCATAACTTTAGGCACCTAGATTAAAAATTTTGCCCTGAATAAATTGGCAAGTGGTTACTGCCCATTGTGTGAAATATGATCTCTGAGATCAGAAACTTATTTTTCTTTCTGTTCTTCTGAAAGTCCAAGGCTGTTTGGGAAAATGTTACCCAACATAGTGATGTAACAGCCACAATTCTCTAGAGTCCATCTTAGTGACCGATATGAAAGGATCATATTGCATTGCATCTGAGTATTCTTACAACACTCCTGAATCCATTTGTTTAAAGAAAGTAACTGAACACTAGGTGAAATGTTAAGCACCCCACATGTTTGATGGAAAATACTATTCAGCCCAATAATGGCTAATTTTCCCCTATTAGTCATTTCCTATCTGGTGTCGCATCTGATTTCCTGAACTACATTGAGACTTGTTGCCTAAAAATCTTCTGCAGATCCAAAATAATTTTTAAAAAATGCTACCCCCATCCTCCTGGTTTGTATCTTCCCCAAAGAAATAAGCTCTTCTCGGGAGAAATAGTTTAGCAACCATATCTCCCCTTTTCCAAGCAGAA